TTTCCTCAGTCCTATGTCTTCCCCAGCCATGATTCCTTGCCTCGTTCTGTGTTCCTGAACAGGAGACAAGCCTTCTCTCTGGGTGCTCAGCGCAGTGGGGATGGGCTGAGGGACCTGACTGAGGTCGGAATCGCAGCCCTCTTGTCAGTGCTGTCAGTCATTACCCAGACTCGCCTCCTCGCACGTCTGTCGTATTCTCGCTTTGACCCTGTCTGCAGTCAGCTCACCCCACATCACCTGTATGCTCGCTTTGGCTCTCTGAAAGCAGCTTCCCCAAATCAGTTGGTTGATGCCAGCTGAGGTCTGCTGATGGCCCCAGTGTGGTAAACCCCTTGCCCCTCCGCTTGGCTGCTGCTTTCATCCCATCCTGTTCTAGTTACTTCCAGAACCTTCCAGAGCTTGAGCTATAAAGACTATCTCAGACCACTCTGCACTCAATTTTGTTAAAGAAAGGTGAGCTCAGTGCCACCCGGCATTCAGGTCAGCAGCGTCGGGTGACTGAGGCAGAACTCTGCGGGAACTGAGTGCTGGCTTTAGTGACCGGAGAGCAGCTGGAATGCTTACCCATGCTGGCTAGGCAGGCCCCTCGTCAGTCCCACAGCCACCTGTGAGGCAGGGTTAGCGCCATCACTCACGGTGGCATCCTCGGAGTCAGTTCTCTCAGGTTTGTTCCAGATAATTCCTGCTGGCCTCACCACTTAGGGCCTAAGAAAGCAGAGGAAGAGTACCGCCTCGTGAGAACCTTGAGCTGGCCAAAGCCAAGGTCAGCGCAGACACAAACGAAGAGCCGGGGTAATCTGCAGTCACTGCAGAGAGGCCCTTGGCTTGTTGAAAGGACTCTGTGCTCTATAGGAAGCCACAGATTTCCTCAGTGCTCCAAGGATAGGAAGGACATTCTAGACGGCAGCTCTCGACCTGTGGGTCACAAATCCTTCTGGGGGCTGAGTGACCCTTTCACAGGGGTCACCGAAGACCATTGGAAAAAACAGACATTTACATTATAATTCATAGCAGTAGCAAAATTACAGTTATGAAGTAGCAACAAAAATAATGTTTTGGTTGGGAGTCCCCACAACTTGAGGAGCTGTATTAAAGGGCTGCAGCATTAGGAAGGTTGAGAGCCTGCTAGGAGGGTGTCCTAGGAGGGTGCTTCAGAAGAGCAAGAACACCTGTCAGCTGGGAAGACAGCCAGGGCCAGAATGGGAAGAACTGGGGAACTGGCTATGTCTGAACCCAGTGCAGTGACTGGGGATATCCACACAGTGTCTCTGAGCCTCAGTTTCCCTCCCATAAAGTGGTGGACAGGCACAGGACTCAGATTGTACACAGTAGGTGCCAAGTGACCAGTTATAGCTCTGGCTGGAGCTTCCGCTGGGAGGCCTTTCAGCCTCCCTCTCCTCCGCCCGGCCAAGGCGGCCAGTCCGCCCCCGGAGCCTCCTTGCCATGTCCCGGCAGCACACCCTCTGGCGCTGCTGGGCTCAGGCCACTCGTGGCCTGGGTTCTCTCTTCTTTGTCCTTGCTGACTGCTGTGGCCGGCTTCCTAGCTTGACACAGTCGGGAATCAGCCAGGAAGAAGGTCTCAGTGAGGCATTGTCACGATCGGGTCGGCCTGTGGGTGTGTTCAAGGAGGGTTTTCTTGGCCACACCGACTGATGTGGGTGACCCAGCCCACTGTGGATAGCACTGCGCCTGAGCCTGGGCCTCCAGCTGTATAAGGTCGGGAGAGGTCGCCGGTGGTCGCCGTGCTTCCATTGATTGATCTCTGCTCTTGAGCGTGGCTGTCGTGTGATTCAGTCGCTGCTTCACATTCCTGCTGTTGTCACTTCCCTGTAATGGCGGACCTGGAATTTTATCTAAAACAACCCTTTCTCCCCTAAGCTGCTCATCCTCAGGGTATTTTACTACAGCAACAGAAATGAAGTAGGAGGCTGCCTGACTAAGCCAGGTATACAGCTGGTGCTCAGAGCGTGTCTGTGCTGAGACAAAAACATAGCTGACTCTTCAACGGAAAGAAGAGATAGTTTATTTCTGGAGCCAAATGGAAGTGGCCATGGTCCAGGAAAATAGATTCAGGTTATCTCAAACACCGTGTTCAAACATTTGTGATGTTTTTATGGTAACAGAAAAAAATACAAAGTAATTTTAAAATACACTGGTGGGAACATGGGGAGGTGGGTCACAGCTGGGTGCGCTGTAAGCCTAAGATGTTATCTAATGACACTCAGCCTTCAGGTTGGAGCAAGCAATCCAGAGGTGAGCAAGGACAGGATGCTAACGGGACTAAAAGGGACCCAGAGTCACTTGGCTCCTGGCACTGCAACCTTCTGGCTCTCCATAACCACAGAAGTTCTGCTTGGTCACTTGCAGAATCTTTAGCACATGCACAGCCTTTTTTTCTTGGAACTTCAGTTCACATCTGCATATCAAAGGAAGCTCGCTGGAGCTGCTTAAAAGCAGCTAAAGCACAGCGCCTAGTGTGGCAGGTTCCTGGAAAGGCTAGCTCCACAAAGCCTGGAATCACTCTCTGGCTAGGGCCTGCACACTGTGATATTTCTCCACTTTTTCTGGTGTGTGTGGAAGCAGGAAAGCGATCATAATTGTTTGCTACAAGTTAATGCCAGTGTACACAGACAACCTCCCTTATTTCCGTATGACCCAGAAGGCACGGGGACCATTGTCTTGTCAAATGGACTGGCCCTGGAGTCTCAGAAGCTTGCTTGTCACTGCTTAGGACGAGGTTATCGGGCTGTGGACTCCTGGGCACAGCCTCCAGCCGTTCCAGCAGTGCTTTCGCTCTAGAGAGACACTGCCAATTCCCCTGCAGCTAAAGGGAATCCAGACCTCTGGCCTGCGGGGAGGCATGAGCTGGAAGTTGAAGAGGAAGGATCCCGAGGACACCCTACCTCTCTGAGACGACAACTCATGTATTAGCTGCTTCTCTCATTTTTGAGCAAATATCAGACAGAAACAACTCACTAAAGGTTTCTTTAACTCATGGTTTGAAGATGTAGCCCACCATGATGGAGAGGGTGGGGAGGAAACTGGCCATATTTTGTGTGTGTGTGTGTGTGTGTGTGTGTGTGTGTGTGTGTGTGGTCAGAAATCAGAGAGGCATCAGTGCTGTTGCTCAGCTGGCTTTCTGGATTTTGTCTGTCACCCCGGGCTATGGCATAGTGTTGCCCTTGCTTAGGTGGGTCTTTCTACTTTGTCTTCATCTTGAGAAACTCTCACAGATAAACCCAGATTCATTAGTAGCGTTCTTTAGAGTCACAGAACTTATGGAATGAATCTATCTTCTATCTGTCTATCTATCTATCTATCTATCTATCTATCTATCTATCTATCTATCTATCATCTATCTGGGGTTTATTGGAAAGGCATACAGCCTGCAGTTCAGCTAATCCAAGAATGACTAGCAATGAACAGAAAGTGTAAGAACCCAGCAGTTGCTCCGTCCACAAGGCTGGATGTCTCAGCAGGTCTTCTGCATATGCTGGAATTCTGAAGAAGTAGGCTCCAAAGCCAGTGAAGGAATGAATGTGCTAAGGAGAGGAAAAGTAGGGAAAGAGCAAACGCTTCCTCCCTCTGTGTCCTTAAATAGACTTTCAACAGAAGGTGTGGCCCTTATTAAAGTTCTGTCTTCCTGCCTCATGATCAAGGCCTGTATCTTCCAGTCTTAAGATCCAGATCAAATCCTGAGTGATCAAATCCCAGAAGCAAAAAGACACACATGGTATATACTCACTTATAAGTGGATATTAGACATGTAATATAGGATAGACATACTAAAATCTGTACACCTAAGGAAGCTAATCAAGAAGGAGGACCCTGGTAAGATGCTCAATCTTCATTCAAAAAGGCAAACAGGATAGACATCAGAAGAAGGTGAAAACAAGGAATAAGACAGGAGCCTACCACAGAGGGCCTCTGAAATACTCTACCCAACAGGGTATCGAAGCAGATGCTGAGACTCATAGCCAAACTTTGGACAGAGTGCAGGGAATCTTATGAAAGGAGGGCGAGATAGAAAGACCTGGAAGGGACATCAGCTCCACAAGGAGAGCAACAGAACCAAAAAATCTGGGCACAGGGGTCTTTTCTGAGACTGATACTCCAACCAAGGACCATGCATGGAGATAACCTAGAACCCCTGCACAGATGTAGCCCATGACAGCTAAGTGGGTTCCCTAGTAAGGGGAACAGGGGCTGTCTCTGACATGAACTCAGTGGCTGGCTTTTTGATCACCTCCCTCTGATGGCAGAGCAGCCTTACCAGGCCATAGAGGAAGGCTATGAAAGACAGTCCTGATGAGACCTGATAGGCTAGGGTCAGATGGAAGGGGAGGAAGACCTCCACTATCAGTGGACTGGGGAAGGGGCATGGGAGGAGAGGGGTTTGGAGGGGATGAGGGTGGGGCTACACCCAGGATACAAAGTGAATAAATTGTAATAAATAAAAAATTATATTAAAAAAGAATAAATAAATAAGTGTAATGAGAAAAAGAAAAAGAAAAAAAAAAAGACCCAGATCAAAGGCCTATGTCTTCCTGCCTCAGGATCCAGATCAAAGGCATGTATTCTTCCTACCTCAAAGGTATGGACTGACTAGAAGTGGATTCACCTGCTTCAAACCAAGCAGAAACTCTCTCACAGGTGTGCCTCCCGTTTCTGGATTGTGCTTCATTCCAGATACAGTCAGGCTGACAACCACACATAGCCGGCACACCAGAAGCCTGTTTCCACAGTGATTCTGAGTCCAGTGAAACTGATAAATAAGACTTGCCATCACCATGCTCAAAGCCAGGACTGCTCCGAGACTGTCCTGGTCACCTCAATTGTCTCTTAAGACTGAGTTGGTACAGATAGTGACCTGGGCTGAATTATGGGAATTCTGTTTTTGATTCTTAATTGTACTCTGTGTCCACATGGGTCCAGCAGAGAAACTAGTCCTGCAGCAAGCTTCTGAGGTTCGGGTCTCTAACCAGACTCTGTCTCTGTAGGTCCCGCAACGGATGGCCGTGGCCGAGGGAACCCCGGAGGACAGCAGTGGCGGCTCCCCAGGCGTGTGGGGTTCCTGGGGTCCCTGGTCTGCCTGCTCGCGCAGCTGCAGCGGCGGTGTGATGGAGCAGACCCGGCCCTGTCTGCCCAGCTCCTACCGTGCCGGAGGCGGCCCACGACCCAGTGGCCCTTCGCTGTCCATCACTGGCCACGTTGTGTCAGCTGTGCGCACCTCAGTGCCACTGCTTCGAAGCCGCGAGGAGCAGCGCGCCCCAGCTGGCTCCGATACCAGCCGCCCCGGCCCCATAGTGGTTCGGGGCAGCCGACACCCACAGGCCCGGGGCCGTGAACCCTCTGTGAGAAGGTATGTGTGCTCCGTGGTCCCTGCGCCTGTCTCTGCCTGGTTCTGTACAGTGAGAATTCTTGCCAGCACCCGCTCTGCATAAGTGTGCAGGAATGTGAGGGGTGTGCCAGCGGAGGCCACGGGACAGCGTCTCGTGTGAATCTTCAAGCCAAGCAACACCAAGTGTCACAGCAGTAAGCTTGGGGACTCTCACAAGTGCCCCATACCTACATGAAGGGCTGTGGGCAATTAATGGCTGCTGAGAAGGGAGAAGGAGGCCTTTCCAGGGATAAGCCCCTGATTATCCAATCCCAGGAGGTCCTCCCTAAGTGGACTCAACAAGACACACACATGTGCACAAATATATAAACAATAATAATTAAAGAAGTAGGTGAAGAATGTCGCAGGGAATCTGGGGACACCAGATACAGAGGGAGTTAGAAGGCAGAGAGGCAGGAGTAGAAGTGATGGACATTTAGTAGTCATATATGAAATTCTCGAAAATCACTAAGTAAAGAAGGCAGGGAGGCATATTAACAGCTGATCTGTCTTGCTAGTCTTTAGACAGGCTACGTGTCTGAAGGCTTACGTGTGCCCTGAGTGTGGGTGCAGGATCCTTCAATAGTACATTTTTTTTGTTCTAGGAAGTTTCTAGGATGTATTTTCAGCAGGCCCTGGGACTGTGGATGCCAACTATGTGAAGCTCAGGGCTCAGTGTATCCTGTCTTGCCTCCTCACTGCACTCCACAGCATAGTTCCCTTATCTGAGATGCATGTGAACATTGTGACTCATTCATTCCTGTGTGTGTGTGTGTGTGTGTGTGTGTGTGTGTGTGTGTGTATGTGTATTGTGAACTCATGTGTACAGAGACCCTGAGGATGATGCCAGGTGTCTTATTTCTTTGAAGCAGAGTCTCTCACTGGACCTGCTGGTGACAGCAAGCCCCAGTAATCCCCCCGTTTCTGCCCTTCACAATGCTGGGGTCCCAGACATACACAGCCGTGCCCAGAGTCTAATGTGAGAACTGTGTATTTGAACTCAGATCCTTGTGCTTTCGAAGCAAGTGCTCTTACCCACTGAGCCATCTCCCCAGCCTACCAGTGTGTTCTAGAACACAGAACTGTCCGTTTTTTAGAGAGGTAGTTTGGAATGTATTTCATAGGTGGTTATATTACCTGTATGGCGTGGCATCATTGCAGTGGCCAAAGGATTTCTTACATAAAGAACTATGAATGCTTCCACCAAATAGGATAATAATAAGACTCTATATAGCCCATACCAGTGAAGACTAAGTTTGCTGCCTCGTGAGTATTGTCACCCAAACATAAAAAAAGACGAAAAACTTGCTTTCAAAACCTCAGGTGTATTGCCTGCTGCGTGCACACGAGGCACTGTCTTGCTGCTCTCTGCCAATAGCTGTCAGGCAGGTGCTAATGCGTCCTCCTCATAGAGGCTAAAGACGTGGAGTGCTCTCCCAAGGCCACCGAAGCAGTGGGCGAAGAGTCAGGATTCACCTTGTGGCCATGTGGCTCTGCGGAATTGAGAAAGCAGAGGCGACACACTCAGTGTCTGGGGATGGAGGCGTCTGAGTGACAACCCAGCGCCGTAGAGCCGGCTTGTAAGGCAAAGCCCGAAGGTGTGTGTCAGACTCCTAGGTCTGTGTATCGCCCAGGGTATGCGAACCAGCCTGGGGCTAGGAAGCTGGGACTAGGAGGGAGGCTGTGGGTGGGGAGCAGGCTCTGTGGGGAGCTTCTCGGAGATCTGCCTGGGTGCAGGCTCTTGCGGGCCCCAGGCCAATGCTGCAGGCCGAGCTTCTGACAGGATACCTCCTCTCTTCTAATTAGTGACAAGGTGCCAGCTGTGCTTACTCTGGGCTTCCTATACGTTTCTATCGTACTCTTGCCATTTGACAGTTTCAGATGAAACAATCCAAATCTTAGCCGGGAGGCCTGTGCTGCTGACGGAGCTGGGCTCTTTCTGGCTGATGCAATCCACATTTGCTTATATTTATCAGTCATTAGGCACTTGTATAGTATATCTAACCCCAAGGAAAAATGTCAGCATGTTCCGTGGAGAGCTGGCTGCTCTGTTCTCTGTTGTGGCTTTGAGATTTGAGGCTGGGGATGTTTGTGTTTAGCTGCTTATGAAAACGGTTAGGTCGCTGCGCCAAGCAGCTGAGAACTAAGTGGAGCCATATAATAAATGGAGCAACCCAACCTTCCTGCAAACATTTAGGAAGGGCCATTATATCAGGAGGCCCTGGCAGACGTAAACCTGACTACAGACTTGTCTGTGGGACTGGAAGGCTGGAGGAGCTGTTTGTAAACCTACTGCTCTCTCTGTGTGTGTGTGTGTGTGTGCGCGCGCCCGCATATCCCCATGCCCATATTCATGCTCATGTATGGAGGCCAGAGGTCAATGTCAGAGGTTCATCCTCAATTGCTTTCTACCTTGCTTTTCTGAGGAAGGTTCTTTCCCTGGACCTAGGGCTACTGCTTTGCTAGAGGCTGATTGCGGAGACCCAGAGAGCTCTCGTCTCTGTCCCCTCCCGCAGCCCTGGAGTTGCAGGTGCATGCTGCCATGCCTGACTCTTGCAAATCTGGGTTCTGGTGGTCAAATGCAGGTCCCTAGTCTGCAAAAAGCACTTTACTGACGAGGCTGTCTCCCTAGCCCAAGTTACTGTGTTTTAAGCGTGAGACTCCTTTCTGCAAAATCAGTCTGAAATGTCAGCTCCGGTTGTAACCCGGGTAGAAGCTGGACTGTTTGGAAGCCTTGAGGTCAGCGCCATAGAGAATTGCATTCTAGATGCAGATGGTGGAGGGTGTTCACCGTTGCCTGGAGATGTGGCTCCCCTGCTCCCCCCAATCTTCTGGAAACCCTGACATCAGCACCGTATTCCAAACCTGCCTCAGACACTGGGGCTCATCCTCAGACAGGGGTAGGGAAGCAGTTCAGTCCAGGCCAGGCCAGTCTGGAACATTTGTATTCGTTTGGAAAGGAATATGGAAATTGATCTCATCTTGCAGAACTTTCTAGGTTTAGGGGGCACATACCACAGAATCTTGCAGTATGTATGTATGTGTGTATGTATGTATGCATTCGTGTGGAGAGGGGACAGCTTGTTAAAAAACAGCTACAAGTCCCCACTCCCTTCTTATCTACTAGAGACTCTGAGCAAGTCTTGGCTATCAAAGTCCTCTCATTTTTCAAGATATGTGCCCTCTGTCTGCTCTCTCAGCAGCTGCTCTGACCACACCTGCTGGACACCAGTAGCCTCCCTTTCAAAATACCCAGCAGTGAGCAGAAGTCACACGCTGTGCTCTGTCAGACACAGCCCTTGTGCACTTGTGTCTGTAAGGTGTCTTCTAGATAACGCTGAGTAGGATTTGAACCGCCGCCAGCTGCAGGCAGCAGCATTCCCGGGGCTGTGGTCCCGGGCTGAATAAGAAGGGAGCTGAGCACCCACATCCATCCCTCCCTGCCTCCTGCCCGTGCATGCCACACGACCAGCCGTCTCGTGCTCTGCTTCCATGCCTTCCCACCAAGGTCTGCCGAAGGCCTCAGCACCCGTCTAAACCCAGACACAGCACACACACACCTGTAACTCCAACTCTGGGAGGCAGAGATAGGAGAGACAGGAGCTCAGTGGACAGACTGGCCCAAACTGTGACCTTGTGAGTTCTGTGTGCAGTAAAAGATTCTGTCTTGAAAATACAGTGACTAAGAACAGCATTGTGACATCAACCTCTGGCCTCCACAGACCCTCACATAGGCAAGCATACATCTCACACACACACACACACACACACACACACACACACACACACACACACACACTACATTTGTGTGTGATGTTAGTCAGTACATCATCACTAAGCTACATCTTCAGGCCTGTTGTATATATTTAAATGCAATTTTTTTTTTAATTGGAGGGGAAAAAAAAGGATGACAGAGGTTACATAATAACACGGTTCCTTCCAGCCCCCACCCCCTTAGTCCATAGGTACTTATTTTCAAAGCTGTGGGGGACGTCTATCCTTGTGAAAATTGTCTTCAGCTGCACGGGTGTGGGTGTCTACACTGCTGCTTGCTCCGGCAGGACTGACTTTTCCTTCCCCTCCTCTGCCACCCATTCCTTCCCCCTTGGCCACTGCAGGGGCACAGCCTTAGAAAGCGAGGAAGAACCTGGCTCCTGCCTTTATGGAATCCATTGGCTAAGACCGGAAGGTCGAACTGCCCCTCTCCAGTGCCTCCCGGACTGCTCTGCCCTGACTGGACAGCGCAGGAGCGTCACTCGTGGTAGAAGGCATTTCTGGGCAACGTATTGGAAGAAGGAGCAGAGGGTGGGGAGCCCTGGCCCTAGGGTCTTGGCTGCACCCAGGAATCTCTGCTGCCTAGACTCCCTCCTGGACATCTCATTTCCTGTGAGGCTTCAGGGCCATCTGACCCACTGAGCCACCTCCCCATCACCTCATCTTAGTCATCTTTCTTTTCCTTTTTTAATTATTTTCACTTTACATCCTGATCATAGGCCCCCATTTATCCTCTCCTCCCAGTTCCACCCTCTCCCTCTTCCCTCTTCCCTCTTCCTCCCCGCCCCCCATTTCTCAGAAAAGGGGAGTACCCCTACTAACCCGCCCCAGCTCATCAAGTAACATGTCCTCTTCCCTTGTGGCCTGGCGAGGCAGCCCCACCAGGGGAAACTGATCAAAAAGCAGGCAAAAGAGTCCATGTCAGAGACAGTCCCTGCTCCCCATACTAGGGACCTACATGAAACCTAAGCCGCCCATGGGCAACGTCTGTGTAGGGGCCTAGGTCCAGTCCATGCCTGGTCCTTGGTTGGTGCGTCAGTTGCCACAAGCCCCTCTGGGCCCTATTTACTTGGCTCTTTTTGTCTTTTTGCGGAGCTCCTGTCACCTCACATTTCCCCCAGCTCTTCCACAGACTCCCAGAGGTCAGCCTGTTGCGGGCTGTGGGTCTCCAAATCTGTTTCCCTCCTCTGCGGGGCGGCCCTCTCAGAGGGGCGGCCCTCTCAGAGGACAGCTATGCTAGGCTCCTGTCTGCAAGCACAGCAGAGTATCATTAGTAGTGTCCTGTCCGGGGTTGGCTCTCTCCCTTGGGGTGGGCCTCAGGTTGGGCCAAGCACTGGTTATACATTCCCTCAATTTCTGCTCTGTCTTTATCCCTGCACATTTGTAGGTGGGGTAAATTTCAGGTCAAAGTTTTTGTGGGTGGGTTGGTGTTTCCGCCGCTTCACTACGAGTCTTGTCTAGTTAGAGTGTCCTCTTGAGCCTCAATGCCTCCTACTGCTGGAGTCCACCCCGACGCCCCCCTCCTCCTAGAAGCCCACCCCGCCTTAGGTCTCCAGATTGTCACAGCAGCTTAGTCATCTTTAAGTATATAGTTCAGTGACATTAAGTGCATTCATCTCTATAGCCTGTTTCATCTTTCCAGACAGACTTGGACCATTATGTGGTAACTCCCCCTTTCTCCTTATACCAGCCTGGGCCCTTTCCATTTTACTTTTTGCCTCACCACTTTTGACTGTCTTACATACACTGAGTCAGACAGTATTTGGCATTGGAGATGGAGTTGCTTCATTCAGCCTAACGTCTGCAAGGTTTGTTCGCATTGTCACATGGGTAGAACAGTAGTTTGTTGCATGTATGTGCCACGCTTTGTTTATCCGTTCATCCGTCAGTGGCCACCTGGGCTGCTTCCAGGTTTTAATTGTGAATGACGTTGCTATGAACACGGGTGTACAAAGGTCTCCTCAGGGCTTCACTCTTGGTTCTTTTGGTTGGATGCCCAGAAGCAAATTGGAATTACACTGTATTTCTGTTTTTCACTTTTGAATTATATTTATATATTATTGTTGTGTGTTTAGATGCACAGCATCTGTCACGGCACTAATGTGGAGGTCAAAGATAGACTTTTGGAAGTCGGTGTTCTCCTTCCTTCTGCCACTCGGGTCCCAGGGATTGAACCTGGGCCTTCGGGCTCCGTGGCAAGTGCTTCCACACGCTGAGCCCTCTCAGCAGCCTTCTGGTTTCAACCTTTGGAAGAACTGTCACGCTGTCTCCTCCAGCCAGCGGCTGTGCCAGTTCATGTCCCCCCAACAGCACAAAGGGCCCAAGTTTCCCTGCATCCTGTTTGTCTCTGCATTTGTGTGGAAGCCACTGTAACAGTTGTGGAGGGACATTTCATTGTGATTTGGATTTACATTCTTTTCATGCCCTTGCTGACCATTTATGTATCTTCTTTGGAGACATGTCACCTTAAGTCATTGGAAAACCCTTCCTTGTATAACATCAAAACCACCATGATTGATTCTCATTCTCAAAATCATGAGGGCAGGTGTTGTCCAGAGCCAGCCTCCCATCCCCAGAGACAAGAACACAGTCTCACACATGCATGCTTTTTAAAACTCTTTATTAGTTCTTTATGAATTTTATCTCATGCACCCCAATTTCACTCATCTCCTCCACTCTTCATACCTTCCCTCTAGCCTTTCAACCTACCCCCCCAACCGAGGAAAATCTCATTTTGAAAGCTATAGTGTGTCGCAGTGTGCCCCACGGTATGTCCACGCTTCTTTGCTTGCAAATATTCATTACAGTGCCACGTTGGTCTGGTCCGAGGCCTCTGGCTTCTGCTACTCTATCAATACTGGATCCTCACTGGGGCTCCTCTTGGAAATCCTGGTGTTGCCCCGTGTCATGGAGGTCCTGTAGTTTGGGGTCTGAAGGACGGGCCCCTTTATTCACTCCAGCAGTTTGTCGATGGGATACATGTTGGGGTGGGCCAATTCAAAGCCTTGGTTCTGGGCTCGAGAGGCATCTGGGCTGGCCAGGCTTCCAGCTCTCCTGTTCTCATGACCTTGGAGTGGCTCGCTGGCAATGCCCACAACCAGGGCCAGCTCTACGCTGCTGCCCAGGCTAGGTGCAGGGCTAGGACCAGTTCCCATTCTCATGACCCGGGGGCCAACTCTTTCACCATCTGCCGTAGGTGGCGAGAGATGAGGGAGGGGAGGAGGGCACCTCTCCCTTGTCCATGATACTGCACTGCAGACAGGAAGCAGGGCCAGCTCTCCCATGCTCACGCCCCTGGGCCGGCTCTCCTGTGCTCCCACCACCTGCCTCCGCTCTGTCATGTTGCCCCAGCAAGCTGCAGGGCTCCACTCTCCTGAGTGTTGCAGCAGTTGAGGGCGAGGGCCAGCTCTCCTGCTGTCATGATCCCAGGACCAGGTCTCCCATCTGCCACAGGTGGCAAGGGGCAGGAGGCGAGGAGGGATCTCTCCCTCCTCCATGCCACCGAGCAGGAGGTAAGGGGAGGGCCAGCTCTCCCACACTTGTGAACTCGTGGCTGGCTCACCCAGTCCCTCAGGGTGTGGGGCCGCTTTCCCTGGGTACTGCAGCTGGTAAAGGACAGTCAGTTCTCCTGCTCTCCTGCCCCTAAGGCCAGCTCTCCCACAATGCCCAGGCAAGGGGTGAGGTCAGTTCTGCACCGCCTCAGACATCAGCATGTTCTTTGGCAGCAGCCAGACCAGGTACTTTGGAGGTAACAGACCCCTGCTGCTGCAGGACGGTGGACCCGGACATGACTCCCAGCGGCAGCACAGGCCAGGACCCCACCACGGTCCCAGGTGGTGTCACCAGCCACTCACATCAGGCCGATCCTCACCACCATCCAGTCTCCAGTTCTGCCTCTCTTCATTGTGCACACATCCTTCTGCTTCCCTCTCTCCCATTTCTCCACCACTTACTTGCTCCTCTTAGTGACACCGAGCGCCTCTGAGTGCTTGAGGTCATCTCAGGAGTGGTCTTGGGTGTGCTCTGCCCCACCTGTGCCTTACAGCGCTGGGCATGGTCTCCTGCCCCTCCACGTCTGTACAGCCCCAGGCTGATGGTCATCTTAGGGTAATGTCCTGTCAAGGAACCATGGCATCAGTCTGGTGGGCATCTCAGGCTTGCCTTTTTGAGCGAATGACAGGCTACTGATCATTCCGATGTTCACAGGTGAGCACACTGAGTGTGGACACGGCCTTACCCCTCTCTGCCACCTGCTGAAGCACCTGTGACAGGGCAGCCGCACCTGTCCCCTCTGGGGACAGGCAGCTGCTTTTGATGTTTGTCAGTCACTGACTTCAGTTTCCACGAAGACAGTACAGAGAGCAGTGGCCACTTCTCTGAGGGCTTCAGGAAGTTTCTAAGCACAGGCCCACAGGCCTGTTCTTGGGTTTCCCCACCAGTGTGCTGCACTCCGGACGCTTGCCTCCATGTGGCCTGGTGGCTTGATGCCACCTGTCAGTCAGCTGGAATCTGGGGAATGGGGTGCTCAGTAGCTTTTCATTTTCTTTCTGGCAGGCCCTGCCAGCTCTCACCTTTTACCTCCTGGAGACGTGTAGGCAGGTGCTCAGGCATGTATACCGTCTGTGAAAGTCAGTCTCTCTCTCTCTCTCTCTCTCTCTCTCTCTCTCTCTCTTTCTCTCTCTTGTGTGTGTGTGTTCCTTTGGCTGTTTGGCACATAATGAGACTGAGAAGGATGGGTTTCCCAGAACTCCCCTGAGAAACAGAGCTTTTTCCTTCTGGAGACGCCTGACCAGGTCAGGATGCCCTGATCTGGGCTCTACAGACAGACCTGATTTTCAGGGATGATTTATGGTCAAATAGCAATGACTGGCATTTTATTTTTAGTTTGTTCTTTTGTACTTTCGTGTGTGTGTGTGTGTGTGTGTGTGTGTGTGTGTGTGTGTGTGTGTGCTGTTTGTATTCCTCTGCATTCAATTAGGATTCCAGGAATGGACATGAGTAGGGATTATTTACTTGACCAAGAGTAACTTACTTGTAGCCACAGCCCCCCACCACCACACACAGAGTAGCTCTGTCTCTTACTGTCTAGCTCTTTGGGGGAGGCAGGAGCCCTATGAGCCTTTTCCTATCCATGATGTCATATTGATGGGCCCAGTCTTGGGCAGGTAGCCACTACTACTGTGAATTCCTGAATATAAAGTAGCTATGCCTCACAGTTATGGACAGTTTAAAATGAAGTTCTGCATTGCATTTTGGGAGAGCAGAGTCCTTGATAGGCTTGAATGGACAGGGTTGTAGCCTCCACCTAACCCGTCCGTGTGCTGGCCTGTGTCCTGCCCACATTTCCCAGGGTTCCCCTGGAGAGGATAAAAACGTAGCTTGCCACTTGGTACCTTGAGTTGAAAACCTTGTACCAATGGTTAGTATCGTGTGGGTACCTGAGCCTGTTAGGTCTATGATGCGAGCAGGATTGCAAATGACTCTGAGGCAGATTACTGGGAACAGTGGGTTTGTTAGAACAGTTACTAATGCAGGGACAGACAGAAGCAGCAGCATGGTGAGGTCTCTGGAGAGAGATGTCAAGGACTGGGCCTCTTCTAGGTTTTGCAGGGAGTTGTTCCTCATAAGGAACAGCAGACAGGCTCTCTGCTCCCCAGACAGGAAGCCGGGAAGGGGGTGGGGAGCAGGATGTGTTGGCACCAGTGCTCACTTTGATGCTAACTCACTTCCCAGGTGAGAAATTATAATGTCCTACTGGACATCCATCAGTATCTGTGAAAGGGAGGAGTCTTCAGCTGGAGTGGCAGCTGTTTTCTGACATTAAGCTCTTACTTAAGCACTCCTTAAGGTGGCCCCATGCCCTCCACGGGCCAGCCACACTGGCAGTGGTTTTACGCGCGATACCAACCCCCATCCCCATCTCACCTGTGTGGTAGGCCTGTGCCGGTGCCACCTATGGAGAACAAACCCACAAGCCAGAGTCAGTATCTGCTGCAAGGTCATGGCAGAGAGGGGTCAGGCTGAAACCCAAGTCTGCTCATGATCCCCATTTTACATTTGCCCTTCTGGAAAGCCCCCTTCCAACATTAAAGGTAGCACTCATCAACTAGACTAATAAAGCAATATTACTGTGTCTGAAGTGAAAAGCACAATTAGTTTCTAATATCTACCCTGGGGCTTTGCTATATGAACACAGAAACTGTCTTTATCGGGTGCTCCAAAGCCTCTGAGGACGCTCAGAGGAAACACTGGCCAGCTAGCATGAGAGAGTAACCGTGCCAGACCTTCACGTTTCAGTTTTGCCTGTGTTGCTATGATAAAACGCCTTGTCAAAAGCAACTAAGGAGAGAAGGGTGTCTGTGGCTTGTGATTTCAGGTAGTACTTTATTATTTCAGGGAAGTCAAGGCAGGCACCTGAGGCAAGTAGCACACCGTCTAGCAGCAGAGAAAGAAGGCATGCACACTGTGCTTGCTGTTCAGCTAGCTACCGTTCTCTTACACGCTTCAGGACACAAGGATGCTTACACCCACTTCAAGACAGTCCCCTACACACATACCTGCAAGCCAGCCTCTCTCAACAATACTCACTCAGACTGTCTTCTTCCTAGGACGTGATTCTGGTTGTACCAAGCAGACAATCAAACTAACCATGACAATATGTGAGGTTGTTTCTCTGCATCTTAGGGCTCAAGAGAGGTGACAGGGCCATTACTGTTTTATGTATTTTGCTTTCATTTTTTATTGCTTTACTCTTCTTTGTGTTGCTGGGCAGAAGATGCTGTACTGGACCCAGTAGCAATAGACAGGTGAAAGAGACATGGCTCCCAGGACCCCTGTGTCTTAAGAGGACACAGCCCATGTTTGGTGCTGGGTATGATGGGTATGAGCAGCTGTGGGAGTCCACAGTGGGTCTTGGGCCATCAAAGCGACCATGGGAGAGGGCACTACTTAAGGATGAGTTTGCGTTCTTATTAGGTGGGAGAAAATGGGAGTGAACCAAAAAAGACTTGACGTATGTGGAGAATGACAGTGGTTTTGGTGATACGAGAGGAGCATTTACTCCTTCTGAGCCTCAAGAGATGATGGTGGAGAGAAGACGAAGCAAAAGGACGCTTAGCTGATCGAGGGCCCATGGAGAAGAAGAGGGCTGCTCAGAATGTGGGATGAGAAGACAAAGAACTGAGGAGCCAGGGAAGGCTTCCAAGAGGAAGTCAGTCGTCAAGCTGCACTTTGAAGAGGGTTTAGCACACGCTGGATGGAGAGGGCACTTCCCAAATAGTAGAGCAGAAGGGTGGAGACCCAGAGGCATGAGTGAGCCTGTCAGGCTCTAAGGTAGTAAAGGGCTTGTTGGGGCTGGAGCTCAGACTGTAAATGAAATCCAGGCTAGCCTGGGGAAGTCCACAGCCTCCTTTGCCCAGGGAGAAACTTTCCATCCAGTGGAGACTGAACTAGGAATCCTTTGAAAAAGACCAGCCCCTTAAACCCAGAAAGTGAGCTGTTTCCTCACTTGGAAACAGGCAGTGTGTCCATGTTTGCACTTGATTTGAACATCTCCTTAGCACCCTTGGGATCAGTCGTTAGCTGCTTCCCCTGCCATCTCACCTCCATCTATCTCAGGAAAGTGGTAGTTCCTGGCCGAGGGACTCAGGCTTGCTCTGTTAGTCCTGCGTTAAATGCATTTGTTTCTGATGATGGTATACCATTCACCACAAATTTAATTGCTCAAAATAATGAAAACGATGAAAACAAATAATGAAAAAGAGCTTTTCAGGCCAGAGTCCAAGATTGAGGTGCAGGCAAGAGCATGTTCCTCTCCAGCTCTACGGAGACTGTCCCATCCCTTGCCAGCGCCCAAGGGTGCTGTAGCCCTCCTTTCATAGGCTTCTTCCCTTTACTGCCCACCAGCTGGCCGGGGACCTTCTGCTCTACCCAGATTAAAAGCTTGGACAGACGAGGAGAAGCTTTTCCTGTGCTGTTATGTGGGAGGATGTGTTTCCTCTGGCATTAGGCAGCAGTGAGCTACGGCAGTGGATGGCTGGGGAGTATCAGGAGTGTAACACACGTTATATTGAGGAAAGGACATGTCCAATTTGACTCACTGAGAAGCTGGCTGTAGGAATGCGGTTACCACCTCACCAACATCACACCCGAGCGTGTTTATGCCAAGGGTCTTTCTTTCAAGACCCCTTAACCTCCCCCAAGCATGTGACAGAGAGGAGAGAACAACAAAAGAAAAGACATCTGCTCAAAGTTGTAAGAACCAGAGGACCAGGAAATCTGCTGTGAGACTGTCTCCTAGAATGACAGGGAGTCTATGCCATGATATCTCAACAATATGGCTGTCTAAACAAGATCTGAAGAAGGCCAGCACGAGCTGACAGGCTAACACGGAAGGGGATGGGGCTCTAAGCCTAGTCAAAAAGCTACAGCCAGCTAAGGGATGCTGGGGGCGGGAGAACCAGTCTTCCTCAGGGATGAGCCCCCTGATTGGTTATCCAGTCCAGACTGGTCCGTCTTAAAGTCATCACATACATGTACATATAAGTAACACTAATGAACACATTAGGTTGAATTCATCTATGTATACATGTATGCGTGAATATACGTGTGTGTGCATGCACAAGTGCACACGATTAAAGAGAATGACGTCATGAATTTGAGAGGCAGTGAGACCAGGGCTCATGGCCAGCGTTGGAAGGAAAGGGAAGGAATGATGTACTTATATTTTAATTTAAGGAATTAGATTTATGAAGACCTCATACTGATACATGTATGAATTCACAGAGACGGTGGCAGCATGTGTAGGGCCTGCACCAGTCTAAGCAGACGGGTCCCAGCCCTGAGGGGACATGAGCACAAGCCCTCACTCATGAGTTACCAGAAGCCACCTCCAACTGATAACGATGGTCTCACTGGGACACAAACCACACTGAAGGGCAGGCTCCACGCCCAGCCGCAGATGGACAACACACATGAAGTCAGCGGTAGTTTGGGGGATTCTTTTGCCTCGTAATGCTTTGTCTGGGTTTTTTTTTTTTTAACTTATAGGTGTCTTTCTGGTTTTGTGTTTTTATGGGATTTCTGAATGTGCGAGTCTCTGTATGTGTGTTTCTTGTGCTTCTTCATTGGCTTTATCCCCCCCCCCCGCCATTTGTTTTGTCCTATTCTGGCATGTTTATTTTATTTTATTTTAAAATTATTTTTAGGTGCCTGTTTGTTTTCTAATGAGAGAGAGAGGATGTTGATTTGGGTGGGTGAGGAGGTAGAGAGGACCTAGGGGAAGGGAAAGCATAATCAGAATT